GATTCTTCAATTTTCTTTCCATTTTTCAGTTTTTCAAGATTTCAGTTTTGAATTTTTCAATTTTCCTTCCATTTTTCAGTTTTTCAGTATTTCAGTTCTGGGATTTTGCAATGTTTCGGTTCTTCAATTTTTCCATTTTTTGATGTTTCGATTTCTCGGTTTTTCAATTTTTCGATAGGTATTTTACTTTTTCAATTTTTAAGTTTTAGATTTTCCGTTAATTTTTTTGTTTTCCTTGATGTTTTGATTTCTCGATTATTCGATTTTTCAAGTTGTCGGTTTAGATTTTTTGGTTTTCCAATTCTTCGATTTTTAAATTGTTTAATTTTTAGATTGTTCAATTTCTCGATTTATAGATTTTTCAATTTTTCGGTTTACCGATTTTTTTCATTTAAAATGTTTCAATTTTTCAATTATTAAGTTTTCGATTTTTCAATTTTGGTGTAATTTGAAAACGGTATTAATAATACATTTAGGCGAATAAACTAATAGACGGGCTTGATAAGCCTTTTTTGCTCTACAGTGTTTAAATTGTGTTTGAATAATATAATAATTATCTCGAATATTAAAATTAATATGTCAAAAGAATACGAGAAATGGAGCATTTTTCCAATCCAATAATAAAATTTTATTACCCAAACGACCGGAACCTATTCACAGAAAGGGTCTTGAGGAAGTGTACTTCAATGGTCAAGTCCAGGTAAAATGCATACGATACGATACGGCTAACTAACAAGTATTTGTCATCCCGACAAGGCCGGCATTTGAACAAAATATGCATTAAAACTCATATTCGTCGAAAAAAGCGTTAAATAAGCATATAAGTTTTAATATGCATAAAATTGAAAAAAAGCAAATAAGCATAAAAAAAATGTGTCTAATAACTCCAAATTGTATCATAGTTACAAACATAAAAAAGTTTTGAAGTGCTTACATTTTTCAGAAAAAGCATTAAGCCTAGAAATCCGCTCTCTATATATAACCCCTGACATATGCTGCTAAATTTGATTTGTAAAGGTAACAAATAATTAAACACTATAAGAAAGGTTTTCTCAGGTCACGTCAGGTCAGGTTCGGCTGGAGCAGTGTCGTATATGAATAAGAACCAATTTCTCAAAATTTAGGGAAGCAAATTCAGAATGCTAAGTACCTAGTATCCGCCTTGTGGTTTCTAACATTCTGTTCCTCGAAGTTTTCTACTCGTATGGCCTGATTTTCAGACCAGATGCCCCTCTAATTTAGTATTAAAAGGTGAATAATTACTCGTAGAAAAATAAGGGTTTTACAATTAAACTCCGCCCCTCGCCTTACGACCAATAAAAAAAAATCATCAGAATTAAGATAGGGCGGGGCTTATATTTTGCCTTGTTTTTCTTAATATACATAGCCGTCGTTTCACAATTTAAAACATGGAATTTAAAACATGGTTAAAATGGTACATCTTTGCAAGGAAATATGGATTTTGGAATTATAGGGCGGAGCCTAAATGCAAAATCGATATTTCCTTATACAAGTTTTCCATTTTAAACATGTTTTAAGTTTTATGTTGTGAAAAGAAGTCTACACATATTAAAACAAAACGGCAAGAAAGTAAGACCACCCACCCGCCCTGTCTCAATTGTGATGATTTTTTTTATTCATCGTGAACCAAGGGGGCGGAGCTTAGCTGCAAAATACTTATTTCTTTACAAAACATTAAAAACATGTTTTTGAGTATCGTGTTTTTCAAAGAATACTAAGTATATTAAGAAAAAAAAAAAGACAAAATGTTAAATTTTTTAATAATATTTTATTCATAATTTATTGTTTTTTCATTACTTGCAGCTTTTTCTGTATCTAATTGGTTTTAGATCTCCAACGTTTCTTCTTTAGAAAAATTTTGAAGTTAAATTAACGACGACAATAGATTACTGAATGTGCCAACCACACTTGTTCGGTAGTCTTTACTATGAAAGAAAATATTTTGCCGCCTCTTCATTTTAGTATTCTCAATTATTCCCAAGCTTTAGCACTAGTAGATACAATGTTTCTATTTAAAGTCACACAAATATAAAAAGTTTAGTAATTATTGCTAAAAACGTGCTATTGATGGCAGATACTTTACATAAAATAATTGGAACTAGGGCATCAAGGTCGTGCCATGATCACACTTCCGTCCAACATGTGTGACAGCAGTGAGATAACAACCAAAAAAACAGCAAACTTGACCTAAATTTCGCGACTCGTTTAAAAAATACTTCAAATAACACCCACAACAAAAGACAAGTTGTTTTGATTTTTGGAACTATCAGTGCCAAAAGTCGAGTTTTCAATATTCCGCATAACACGCGTTATTTTGTAGGTTTTCTTGGTGGAAGTAAAAGAAATGTAAAATAAGAAAAGTCCAAAAACTGTCAAAAGTCGAAAATTTGGAAAACCGTACCTAGTTGAAAATCGGAAAATCAAAAATTCTGTGATCGATTAATCGAAAATGCCATGAATTAAATATTGTATAAATCGAAAATTAAAAGAACGAAAATTCGAAAAATCGAAATGTCAAAAAATTGAAAAATGGAGAAACTAATAAAGCGAAAAGTAAAAAATTTAATATTAGTTTCGAAAAATGAACAACTCGAAAATTCGAAAAATCGAGAACCCGAAAAATCAAAAAATCGAAAAGTAAAAATATTGATAAATCGAAAAACTGAAGATTGGAATTGAAAATTCGGGAAACCGAAAAGTAAAAAAATTGAAAAGTCTAAAAACAGAAGAATCTAAAAATTGAAAAATCGAGTATTCGAAAAATCAAAAATCGAAAAATTGAAAAATTGAAAATTCGAGTATCGAAAATCGAAAAGTGCAAAATCAAAGTATCGAAATATATAAAAAAAACTATATATTGAAAATCGAAAAATCGAAAATTCTAAAATCGAAATGTAGAAAATTGGAAAAATTAAAAAATGGATAAACCCAAAAACTGGAAAATTGAAAATTCGAGTATCCAAAATCGAAACTGGAAGGAACGAAAAACCAAAATGTAAAAAAAATGAAAAGTCTAAAAACTGAAGAATGGAAAAAGGGAAAATTCAAAAAATCAAAATCGGAAATTTGTAACATTAAAAACTTGAAAAATTGAAAATTCGATAAGAGGAAAGAAATTGAAAACACGAATATCGAAAAATCGAAAATTCTAAAATACAGATTTCAAAAATCGGAAAATCCAAAAATCAAAATATAGAAAAAGCGATAAATCGAAAGTCGAAAAATCAAAAATTCCAAAATCAAATCTAATCAAAAATCGCGAAATCGTAATTAAAAAGACTGAAAATTTGAATAACGACAAATCGAAAATTGAAAAATGGAAAAACCGAAAATCGGAAGTTCGAAAATCGTATAAATTGAAAAATTATCTAGAAAGTCAAAAAATCGCAAAGCAAGAGATTGCAATTCTAAAATCGGCCAATCGAAAAATCAAGAATTTGAGAAATCAAAAAGTTGAAAAACCGAACAAATGAAGAGTTGGAGGAAATGGAATTGAAAATTCGATCAATCGAACATCAAAAAAATTCAAATCTAACAACTGAAAAATCGAAAACTCAAAAAATCAAAACCGCGAGGAATCGAAAAACCAAAATGGAAAAAAAATTGAAGAATAGAAGAAGTGAAAATTGAAAAAATCAAAATTGGAAATTCCATGAAATAAATATTTTAAAATTCGAAAATTGAAAAATGAAAAAAAAAACGAAAACCGAAAGTTCGAAAATCGAATAAATTTAAAAATCATTTGGAAAATCAAAAAGTAGAAAATCAAAATTCAAAAATTCTAAAATCGAGAATTCAAAAATTGAAAATCCAAGAATCAAAATGTAGAAAAAACGATATATCAAAAGTTGAAAAGTGGAAAAATTGAAAAGTCGCAAAATCGAAATTACAAAAACTGAAAATTCGAATATCGACAAATCGAAAATTAAAAACCTAACTAAAAAAACGAAAATTCGAAAAATAAAAATCGAAGAGTAGAAAGATTGAAAATTCTAGTATCGAAAATCGAAATCGCGAGAAATGAAAAAACCGCAATGTAAAAAATTGAAAAACTGAAGAATCGAAAAAATGAAAATTCAAACCATCAAAATTGAAAATTCCATGAATGAAATAAGTATTGTAAAGACTGATAATTGAAAAATGCAAAAACCGAATATCGAAAGTTTTGAAATCGAAAAAATTTAAAAATTTTGTATGCAGGTAATCGTTTGACTAAAAATAATTTAATCGACTGCTCCGAAACACTCTGTATACTACACTAACTAACGATAATCACGTTCTACATGATTCACAGCACTCTGAAACCAGAATTTCAAAATTAGAACAATTCCACTGGTCTCGGGAAATAAAAATCTTTATAAATGCTCCCAATTACCCGGAGACTTTAACGCTAGATGAAGACACCAGACGTGCCTGGAACGTCTCGGAGACCCTAGCAACAGAATAACAATTAAGTGGAATAACGACGAGTTCTTCGAGTTTGCAAAATTGTTTTATCACAAATAAGGTAAACGATTATAACACATAAATCCTAATTATAATTACACGCCAGTTAGGTTTTTACACAATTTAATCAAATCAATTAAGATCGACGGTACAGGTTTCCTTAGATCGTCAGGAAATTATTCTGTGTATCGTAACATTGTTAAGTGGAATGGTTACGTTATTGTTGATAAAAAATCTGGTATTTAGGTAACGGTTGGAATATTTGAGACATGACGGTGTTCGTTGCAATATTAAAAGTAACAATGGAATGTTAAATCACAATAAAGTGACACTTTGGAATTATTATTACATGACGTCAGATTGCTACTGGATCCTGAAAAGGAGCGTGGTGGAATCTTCTCCAGCTCTGGAAGTACCTACTAGTGTGTATTCCCGTCCCTTGTCCCGTTTCCAGGCCGCCTCCCAGCCCAAACCGAGCGTCTCCGCGTCCGTCCGTTAATGAGATGATGCTGGAGATCCGAAGAGGAGGGCTCGACCTCGCCGCCTCGCCGTTGCGGTTCTAGTATGGCTCGATCCGTCGTGGTGTTCGCCTCGATCGCGACATGCCTGGCGCTCGCTCGGGCCGCCGATGACCGCCAGAACCGGGCCGGCGACCTGGACCGCGGCCCCCCGGCCCGCCTGGAGATGAGCACCGAGTTCTTCCTCGTGCCGGCGAGCGCCGCCGCCCCCGCCGCCTCCGACGCCCCCGTCACCCTCGAGCGCATCGGCGGCATCTTCCGCAACGAGAGCTGGGTCATCCCCGTGCTCACCCTGTCCGCCGTCACCATGGCGCTCATCGTCGGCTTCGAGGTGTTCGTGCTGTGCAAGGCCTGGCGCACCACCCCCAGCCGCCGCCACCTCTTCCTCGGCCAGATGCTGCTGCTCGGCCTGTTCGCCTGCGCCGGCCTGGGGGCCGTCTACGCCGCCTCCCCCACGCGCCTCACCTGCGCCGTGCTGCGCTTCGGCACGGGGGTGGCGTACGCGCTGGTCTTCGCCGCCCTCTTGGTCAAGTGCGTCTTCCTGATCAGCCTCAACGGGGGCGTGTACCTGCCGGCCCCCTACCAGGGGCTGCTGCTGCTCTTCGCGATCTTGATCCAGGTGGCCATCGGGGCGCAGTGGCTGATCACGAGCCCGCCGCTGGTGGACGACGTCACCTTCGAGGTGGCGGCGACGCCGAGTAAGCACAGGTTGCTGGTGACGGCGGAGGACGTCGCCGCCCCGCTGGTGCTGCCGCTGTGCCGCACCTCCTACACCGACATACTGCTCTCGCTGATCTACGTGATTTTTCTGATCGTGTTCGTGACGGTTCTGGCGGTGAAGTCCCGAGGGATCAGAGACAATTACCGGGAAGCTACTTATATCGGACTGTCGGTGGGCTGCAGCATTCCCACGTGGATAGTGTGGATCTTGAGTGGGTTCGTGGTCAGCGAGAGACACAGAGACGCTTGCTTAGCTTTTGGACTAGTGATTTCTTCGGTTTTGGTCTTTCTGATCATGTTCATGCCGAAGGGAAGACAGTTAGCGGCGATGGGCAAGGAAGGGGTCTACGTGGAAGACAGAGAGGAACGTTTTAGTTCTTTGAGTAGGGCGGGATCCGGGTATTCCCCGTCCTTTTTTCACTTCAAACCTATTAAGTACGGGCTGGGGCATGGTACTAAGCATCAACACACGGTCACCACCATCGGAGGAGGTATGCTAAAGTCACCCAATTCACTCGAAACACCCACAATGGGCGTTTACACCACATAAATCGATTTGACCGAGGAAGGCTTGTACAATTAGCGACGCGAAAGTGGTACTAATCGCATAAATTTGTATAATTTTTAGCTAGCTTTTTACAGACGAAGTACCATTGGGATGGAGTGAACTGTAAATAATTTGACATGCCTCCACTGAACCATTGCAGATTATTAACACGCCTTCCTCGACGCATTGTTTATTCTTAATTTCTCCAAAATCCACCGATTGTTGATTTTACCCACGAAAAAATTTCTCTTGCATATGGTCATCGTATGGAGTGTCAGCTCGATGACCACTTTTTGTCCTCCACTAATAATACCCATATGCTGTAGACGGAAGCTATAACTTTTATTAAATATAAACCACACACCTGTAAACGCACCTGTGTCTAAATTAATTTTACCACCACGAGTAGTACCACGACCATTTCAACAAAAGCGAAATTTTCCACAACTAAATTTCATTTTGATGGTACTTCATCGACGATCGCAGAATATCGTCCAAAGCTGCATTACCAGTTTGTTTACTTCTGGATTATTTAAGCGACATCCGAACTCTAAAAACAAGTTGCTGTGTTTACGAACAAACATTCTTTCGGTCTGAATTACAACAATGATCGAAAAACGGCTTCGCAACAACACGAATGGCGAAATTTGGGTAAAACAGCACACCTCGGACTCATTCATCATAATTTTTTCATTGTGTCGGGTAATTACAATGTTTAGATCCGAAAAAATTGTTTGTACAATTTACATTCGTACATTTGCCAGAAAAACTCGCGGATACCTCGTTAAGTGATTAACTGGTTAGGTAATTACATACAATTACTTTTTTGCGTCCGAGAAGAAGTTAAACGTGCTCATTGACAAATTATGATAATAATAATTCGCCGGTTTAAAAAAACGTATTTCTGTGTCATCGTCCTGACGGATTCGTTTCCAACAAAGGATCATTTTGGCGCTGGGTAAGAAGCTCCGACAGATCATGTTTATTTTTAACAGTTCTTTTTTCCCCAAGATTGGTAATTTAAATTCAAGCATACGCTTTAATTTATTTTAGTTTGTCTGCGACCCGTTATTTATGGAAGCGACTAGTAGTTTGGCGTTTTTTTCGACAATTCTTACATGATCTGGTGATATTAAAGAGCGGATTTAAATTTTTGCGTTTTTATGTGTGGACTGAAAAAAGATGAAAAATTGTTTTAGCTGCACTGCCGCTTTTTTCGGAGTGTTATGACGCGTCCAAGTGCCATATATTTTATTAATTTCGACATAATGTTATAAAAACGAAATCACGCCGAGATGATGTATGCGTATTTTATTGAAATTATTTATTGCAGATTATTACAACGATCTAGAATGTGATAACACGACAGTAATCATGAGAAATATTTATTGCGGCTGGGAATTTTTTAATCCGGGCACATTAATAACAGCTGTATGAGCAAATATGTGCTGGAGGTAGATAAGAGCTTACCAGGAAAGAACGAAAAAAGTCGGTACATTAATTAATTAAATGTTAGATTTACAGTTATCAACTACTGTAAAAGCTTGTAATATAGTACACGACAACTACATCATAAATCAAAAAAAAAAAAAATCATAACCATAATTTTAAGTTTTTTGAGAAAATCTTCTTGCTTAAAATTACACGCGGAGCGAGCGAAATGAGCTGCCAATTGAATATACAAACTGCGTGCAGCGAAGACAGCCCACGAGCCGTGTTAATTATAGATTCATCATAGGATACTAGTTTACAGCCCTTCAAGACTTTTATAAAAATGCAGCTCGCGAAACGAGCGATACGACGTGCATACAAAACCAGCCATACACAATAAGAATCCGTGGCGCCTCAGATTTTTTATGGAAATCATATTCTCAATAATTTCTTTCTTTTTTGAAACGAGGGAGACCGTGTGAAGCTCTAAGACTGGAATTTCGTTAGCATAATTGATAGATGCACCCAGTTTTACTTCCCTATGGGTCCATCGGACGAATTGTTACTTTCATGTTTTCTCGACGTGTCATGCTTTTTAGAGTACCAAAGAACAGATTTGCCGTTTTCATCTGTCTGATGACGTCATTTCAAAATTTCGCCGAAGAAATCCTATCTAAAATAAACAAAATATCATGATTCTATATTTGTGGTTTATCAGTGTGTTCGTAGTTTTTTAGTTACTTATACAGGGTGGCTTAAAGAAATTAATGAATGAGCCAGTCTATTTTATCGAACAAATCAAGAGTGTCAATTTTTTGAATTTAGACTATTTTTTCTCAATAAAGCCTGAATATGCTCTCTGCGCTCTTATTTTAAACGTTCTTTTTATTCAAGTTTAGTCTCAGAGAAGAAAGAGTTTCAGCGAAGTTGTGGAATTTCAATTGCAATAATAATTCTAACAATTGTTTTTAAGATTCACTTTTTGTAGGTGATAAATATGTACTTTTTTTATTAACAGTTTAGTTTCTCAGGGACAATGGTGAATTATTTTTAATAACAGCTGGACGTACTCGCGTTCTAAGCGGTTTTTGCACTTTTTACGCTTTTTGTGGAGTTTTTGTTCCCATTTTTTGACGGTTTTTGTTGTTTTTATCGTCATTATCTTGGGTTGACTTTTTTTATCGCATTTTATTATCGTTAATTTTTTATCGTCTTTAGTATAACTTTTTGTGCCTTTTTGCCTCGAATTTTTTTGTCGTTTTTTTCGTTTTTTTGTGTATTTTTCTTCGATTTTTTTGACTTTATTTGGCTCTTTCTTCATATTGTACGTAATTTTGTGGCCCTTTATGTTACCTTTTTGACTCGCTTTTTTACGCTTTTACGCTTCTTTTGTGGACTTTTTCTCTTTTGAGTCTGATTTTTTCGAGTCTTTTTGTCATCGCCATTGCTTTGTAGCACTTTTTGTAGCCATTTTTTTTTCTATCTTTTATCCCTTTTTTGTCCCCATTTTTTGACGTCTTTTTTTCCGACTTTTTGTTAGTTTTTTTTTTGTAACTTGTTTCCAAAATTTTCTTCACTTGATTTGTTTCTTTTTGAGTCGGTTTTTTTGTGAATTTGTTATCGTAATTTTTTTAATATTTCTGTATATTTTCTACGTTTTTTGTGGATTTTTTGTCTCCAATTTTTGCCTTTTTATCGATTCTATTTTTTGAGTCGATTTTTTTACGCATTTTTGTCGACTTTTTTTCGTTTTTTTCTGCAGCTTTTATCTTTTCTGACTTATTTTCCAACATTTTTTACTTTATTTGGCCTTATTTTTAGACACATTTTTTAATCAATTTTTGTTGTCTTTTTTGCCTCTTTTTGAATCGTTTTTTTAATGGTTTTTTGTGAATTTCTTGTCGCAATTTTTTAGCCCCTCTGTTTATTTTTGACTCGGTTTTTCGTTTTTTACGTTTTATGTGGACTTTTTGTCGCCATTTTTAGGCTTTTTATCTATTTGTCAAGTCGGAGTTTTTCTTTGGACTTTTTTGGCGAATTTTTTCAAGTTTTTTTTTATCACCATTGTCTTGTCTTGACTTTTTTATTGCGGTTTGTTATTACTCCTTTTTTATTGTCTTTTATATTATTATTTTTTCACAATTTTTTGGCTCTTTTCCGAGTCGGACTTTTTTAAGCCTTTGTTTTTTTGTGAATTTTACGGTGGATTTTTTATCGCGTTTTTATCGTTATATTTTTAGCCCTTTTTGTAGACATTTTTTTTAATTCGATTTTTTCTGTGCGTTTTTCCCCCCATTTTTTGACGCCTTTTTGTCGACTTTTCCGTGTTTTTTTTTGTAACTTTTTCTTTTGTACTTGTTTTACCACTTTTTTGACTTTATTTGGCCCTATCTTTAGTCACATCTTTTTACGAAATTTTCACGACCTTATATGTCTCTTTTTGAGTCGGTTTTTTATGCTTTTTTGGGAATTTCTTTTCGTAATTTTTTTAACCTTTCTGTCAATTTTTATTCAGATTTTTTCTGTTTTCTTTTTTTACGTTTTTTGAGGACCTTTTCTTGCCATTTTTAGCGTTTTTATCTATATTTCAAGTCGGATTTTTTACGTTTTTTCGTGGACTTTTTTGTTGCTTTTTTATCGCCATTGCCTTGTCTTGACTTTTTTATCGCGGTTTGTTCTCGTCCCTTTTTTATTGTCATTCATATGACTTTTTGGTCACTTTTTCAGCATTTTTTGGCGCTTTTCTGACTTTTTTTTCTTTTTTTTTGAGTTGTTAAGCCTTTGGTTTTTTAATGAACTTTTTAAACGGTTGTTTTTTTATCGCGTTTTTTTCTCGTTATATTTGTAGTCCTTTTTTGTAGCCATTTTTTTTCGATTTTTTTTGTGCCTTTTTTCTTCCCATTTTTTGACGCCTTTTTGTCAACGTTTTTTTTTTTTTTGGTAGATTTTTTCTTTTGTGACTTATTTTCTAACTTTTTTTTTACTTTATTTGCCCCTATTTTTAGGCACACTTTTAGTCAATTTTCTGCGGTCTTTTTTGTTTCTTTTTGACTCGAATTTTTTCGCTTTTTACGTTTTTTGTGGACTTTTTAGCCTTTGTATCTATTTTTCAAGACGGATTTTTACGTTTTTCCGACAACTTTTTTTGAAGAGTTTTTTCGCGTTTTTTGTTGCTTTTTAATCGCCATTGCCTTGTCTTGACTTTCTTGTCGCGGTTTGTTGTCATCCCTTTTTGATTGTCTTTTATGTGACTTTTTAATCACTTTTTCGGCATTTTTTTGGCACTTTTTTGACTTTTCTTTGTCTCTTTTTTTTTGAGCCGGACATTTGTAATTTAAGCATTTGGTTTTTTGTAGCCATTTTTTTATCTTTTTTTGTACCTTTTTTCCTGTCCATTTTTTACGCTTTTTTATCGACGTTTTTCGTTTTTTTTTTTTTTTGTAGTTTTTTTTTGTGACTTATTTTCCAACTTTTTTTTACTTTCTTTGGCTCTATCTTTAGTCACATTTTTTA